ATAATGCTAATAAATAATAAAATATACATTCATGAAACTATACTAAAATATAATAATAAAATTCATTCTATAACAATGTCTATTTTAATTATTGTTTCATATATTTTTCTTAGCATTATCATCTCTATTAAGTCTATTTTCTGTAATGTTACTGCAACTATATTTCTCACATTAAATTAGTTGTCTCTATTTGCTAGTTTTTGCTCTAACTCTTTGCTATCTATAAGTTTTAGTATTGTCTCTGCTCTTTCATTTATCAATTTTAACATCATTGACTCTTTTGCCTTTGCTTGTGTCATTTTTGGCTATGTTCTATGCTACTTTTTTGTTTGTTTACAATCACATATATTCTGTAATACTTATATATTTATTTTATCTATATTTGTATATGTCTGTTTGTTTGACTTTTCACATGCTTATGTATTCTAAACAGATCTGTGATTTTAAATCTAAATTATTTTTTCAAAATTTTTATTTTTTGAGACTTGTTTGATAAGTTTGTCTTTTTTTGCTTGCTTCTTGACTTATTTTCTTCTACTACCCTATCTGCTAGATCTATTTCAAAAACTCTTTTTTTTCTTAAGTCTTTAAACATAGTTTTGACAGTGATTTTCCTATTAGTCTTGATTTTTGTTTCTATAAGTTTTATGTTTTGGTATTGATGAGTAGAGTTGTTTTTTTATGACCTTATCTCCATTCATTCATTTTATACATATTGTCTTTTTATTATATATATAGTAGTTTGTACAAATGTATTTTTTTTTAGATTACTAAAACCAACTTTTCCCTAACAAACAATTCAATTTTTCTCAATATTTTACTAAACTAGCAGCTCTTAAACTTCTAATTAAATTTTTTTCTTACAAATTTCTATCCTAAAAACAATACAAATTTATTCATATTTAATCTTTCGAAACAACAAACTTTTATATTTTAATAAAATTATCTTTATTTATATTCTTTTAAATTTCTTCAATTTATAATTAATTAAACTCTTTTATTTCCAAGTAAACTAATTATACTAAACTTTCTGCTTTCAATTATACTAATTTTACCAAATTTTAATTATTATATTATATACCAATTAACATTTTCTAAAAAATACACTTTCTCAATTTCCATCAAATTTTACTAAGTATCCTTATTCTCTCTCATTAAACAAAAATATTTAGCTTATTGAGATAATTATTTCAACATAAAATTTATCTTTAATAGACCAAAACTAATTAAGTTATCAATATTTTTCTTCAAACTTTTATCTAAACTCTTTTTTGAAATTCTATTGATCAATTTTGTGAAATTTATAGAGGTGCCTCAAAAATTTTAGTTTTTATCAATCTTGAAAATATTCAAATTTCTAACATTTCTTCAAATTCTCTCAAAGAAACCTAGAAAATTTACTGGCTCTCTGGAAAATTCATTGTCAATTTTAAAAAATTCAATTTTCTCACCTAATTTTTATTCTTTTTATTTGCTTTTTTTTGTTGCCTATATTATAAAACACTCTACTCATACTATAAACTACTTAAAAAATCTTTTTTATATCTTTGTTTCAAACTATTTATAACTTTAAATATCTTTCTATTATTATTGTTTATAATTTCAAAATGAATCTACAAACTACAACCCAACAAGATCATTACTTAGACTGGTTCAAAAGTTATCCTATCTCAGAAAACTCTTCTTTATTTATATTTATGACATTTGGAATTCAAATATTAGATTTCTTAAAACCAATCCTCAAAGATTTCTATTCTGATTTAATTATTAATTTTATAATAATCAATAAACTAGTTGTAAAAAGTAATTTCAGTTTTTTATTTAAACTATCCCTTAAACTGTCTAGCAGGCAAATTTGCCCGCTAAAATCTTTTTTTGCCTGATTTGGTAAAATTGTGCCCAAATTTCTTAAGCAACTTCCCCCCTATTCTAGGTAAAAATAAAAGACTATTATTTTGTACATCAACACGTGATTTCATCTTATATGCTTAGAAGCATACTAAACATTCAGATTACATGTAAGTAGTGCAATGATAAACTTTAAAAAAATGATGATTGTTATTAACTCTAAAAGTGAGCGTTGTATAATTTTTTTTTTTTACAACTATGTCTATGAGTTTGTTGCCCTCCTTCTGAAAATACTGAAATGTATGATGATGATGAGAAAGAATATGTAGCACTTATGACATCCCACCAGCATTTTTTAACCAACCCAGAATCTGACAATGAGGACGAAGAAGAGAAAGAGAACAACAAAGGTGTTCGCAAAAGAGATCGCAGGCAAGCAAAGTTGCCACTACCATCAACAAATTTTGAGCCACTAGCCCATCCAAAACAGCTTCACAAGGGTTCGTGAATTTGCCCCCACACCATGAAGTCAGTTTCTCAAAACCAGTCAATTTTTTTTTTTATTTTTTTACCAACAATTTATTGGATCAAATAGTTATCAATATAAATTCATATGCATTAATTAATGGTGCTGGTGTTCTTACTGGTAGGCAGTGGATGAATATAGACCGTAAAAAGCTCATTGTTTGGATTGCTCTGGTCATTTATCAAGGTGTTTTTAAGCTGCCTTCCCTTAATCAATATTGGAACGAAGACCCGAAGTTCCCCCTTCACCATATTTTGAAGCAAATGTCGTTGAAGTGTTTTGAGCAAATCAAAAGATATTTGCATATCTCCCCTCTAGCAGTAGTGGCCAAAAACTATTTTGATAAATTGGAACCATTGCTCTCACATGTTTGAGATACCTCAAAACAACTCTACACACCAGGTTCAAATGTTTTAATTGACGAGATGATGATCAGATTTTCAGGAAGAAGTGTTCACACCATCTGAATCAAAAACAAACCAATTTCAGAAGGATACAAGGTTTTGTTGCTTTGTGAATCTGGATATACGTACACTTTCTTGCCAACTTCCTGTATTTATCCAAGTGATGTAGAAAAAGTGGGTAGGCTTAACCAAACCAGATGTCAAGTTTATCATCTCATCACGCAGCTTTCATATAATCGACTTCTATACAACATTTACATGAATAACTACTTTTCTAATATTCCTCTTTTTCAGGCTCTTTGGCAAATTGGTGTTGGCTCCTGTGGGACAGTTCGAAAAACAGCTTCTGGGTTCCCAAAAGAACTGAAGATGGAAAAAAATATTTAGCTTGACTGGGATGTACGTTTCAGTGTTGTAAAAAATGGGGTGTTGTCTGTGTTCTGGCAGGACAATGGTCCAGTCACAATGCTGTCAACAATACATGGTCTTGTTGGCAATGAGTAGGAAATAGAACAGGTACGACAGCGGCCAAGGAAAACTAGCACTAATGCAACAAAAGTGTGTGCAGTATTTGGCTCTCAATCAAAGAAAGTATTAAAGATCCCCAAGATAATAGATGATTACAACCATTACATGAATGGTGTGGATGTTGCGGACCAACTGCAGTTGTATTATAATACCCAACAAATAGTACGAAGGAACTGGATGCTGCTTTTTTTTTGGCTTTTGGACACCACGATTGTAAATGTATATTGAATTGCCCGAACCTTAGGTTCAATGCAAGGTCAAAAGGAATTTTGCCTTGAACTTGTTTGGGATTTAATAAATCTTGCAAATAATATTGGTGAAATTTGGTTAAGAGATGGGTCAAAAAAAAAAATAAAAAGAAAAATGAATGAAAAAAAAGAAGAACCCAAGCAGCAAAAGATGACAAAGCATTTCGAGCTTCCAAACCAACAGTTTGTGCCTGACAACCATTTTTCAGAATAGAGACAGAGGTGAGAGTCATGTTTGTGATGTGCATGATGGGCAAGTAAAAAAAATTTGAACTTGGATTGTAAAACACCACATCAGAGCCAGCTTTGGTGTACTATGTGTAATGTACCTCTCTGCTGCAATAACCATCAAAATTGTTTTTTAGATTTTCATATCAAAAATGATAACACTGAAAAAATTTGCAGAGATAAGTAATACTACTGCAATATATAACCTTGCAGATTGTTATCAAAATGGAATAGGGGCCGAAAAAGACAAACATAGAGCATTTATTCATTAGCAAAAGTCTGCTAAGATGGGAGATGTTAGTGAATTGTTTATGTAATTAAAGTGAGATTGGGGTTTCAAGTTGGTTTATGCTATCAAAATGGAATTAAAACATAATCTTTAGATGCTTAGTTTTATATAAATAAGAGCATTTGAAGAATCAATTTCAATTTAAGAATTTAGGTCTTAAAATTTTACAAATAACGAATTTTATTTGCATAATTAAATAACGCAAGTTTAATTATTTTAATAAATTAAAATTTATTATGACTAAGTATCCACATTACATAATAAATTTATTTTGCCTAGATCTTAATAATTTAAATCTAAATTTACAAAACAATCCAAGTAATTCAGTTCTACTGATATATTTTACGATGTAAGCAAGGTATTTTATGCACATTTTAATTTGTGCCCTTCGCTTGGGTCATGTAGCATGTGCTATGACATAATTACTGGATTATCATGTGACTCATATTTCTAGAAGCTATTCTAACCAATTCAGGATAATATTTTATAAAAAAATTTTTTTAAGGGTTAATTTTTTTCTAATTATTTTAGTGGGCAAATTTGCCCGCTAAACTGAACGGTTTAAGAAATAGTAACCAAAAAATCTAAATTTATTATAGACACAATTTTAAACAAAAACTTACATATTATCAAAGCAATCAATATACTTTTTAAAATTCTTTTCAGTATAACAAAAAACTAACTTACCAAATTTACTTAAACTCTTTTTTATAAAACAAATTATAAATAATTCTTTAATTCACATTATTTTATTCTCTTTTATTCAATTAAAAACCAATTTCAAATTACTATAAACTTTGCAAAACTTTATCTATTTCTATATAACAAATACCAAACTATTGATTATCAAAAATTCTTTCATAATTTATAACTTAAACTCATTTATCTAAAAACCTTTATACATATAAACCATATTTTAAACACTTCAAAAAACAATACTCCTATATTATAAATTTATAATATCTCTAAATTCTATATCAATATTATTATAAATATCTCTTTTCAAGAATTTAATATAAACTATCATATTTCATCTTTTTACTTAATCAAACCACAATTTGACACCTGGTTTCAAAAATTCTTTATGCATTATAAAAAATAATTTAATAACATTAATGAACAAAAAGTCTATAACTATATCAAATATCTAATAATAACAGTAACTAATAATAAATACAAAAAGCTAATCTTTCAAAAACCTGAACTATCAACTATCCAATTCATTCAAGATCAAACAAACTATATTATCAAAACAGCAATACACTATATATACACCTACATCAATTTGGAAAAATGCAAAATTCTTAATTCAAAAACAATTCATAATATCTACAATTTAATTTCTTACTATTTTAAACAATTCTTTAACATTATATCTATTTAATAATATATATATTTATCTTTAAATCTTTTTATTTTCATCTTAGTAACATTCTATACACTCTTTCTTTTTAAAGAACTTTATAAACTAGATGACCAATCTAAACAAATCTTTATTCAACTAAACAATATATCTACTAATCCTAAACGTATATCTTATTTCTTTTACTATTATCTTAAAGTTTACTTTAAATCTGTAGTAACAAACAATAAAATTATTAATCTTAATCTCAAAAAAGTATTGAACAAAATCTTCTCTCAAATAAGCAATTCACATATCTTAGCCAAGATCATTACCTATTATAACATCACTCAAATCTTTAAACCAATCATTACTTAACTTAAAAAAAACCTTAATAAGTTATATTTCGATCAAGCAAACTAATACATTATCAAAAAACTTAATATTATTATATCTATAGTATCAGAAACTAACTTTATCTATACTTTTAATATATCTAAAATCATTAATAAACTTGATGATAACCTTTTCTTCTACAATATCTATACATTTCTGTTAACTTCTCTTTATCTATCTACCTATCCAATCTATATTATTTATTTTAGCTACATACTGTTAACCTACAAAAACGACCATAACTCTTGAACCACTAGACAGAATTCGATGAAACTATCACCATTCGAATCAGCTCACTAAGATGGTTCTAATGAGGTATAGATCATCCATTTCTGATCACAGGATCACAAGATCGAATCTAATAACCAAATTAATA